AACAAATTACGTATATCGAGGTCAAAGAGGAAATTGCTGATTCTTCGCCGGAAGGACTTCGGGCAGAATATTCAGCCGATTGCCGAGCGGCAAACATGCCGCTCGAGAATCCTCCGAGTTCAGTCATGCTCCGTCATAAAATTGATTCTCTCTCTCGATTCCGGTTGAACTTCATCCACTTGGCCCATAAGTAGAGTTGCGATATGAGAGGACATTTCTTTCCTGAGAAAAGGACGATGTCCGCGCGGACATCGGGTCGGAAAGCGGACATCAAAAGCGGACACTCTATTCCATGTTTTTTGCCCTTTCCATGGAATTGATTCGACTCTCTAAGCATTTTCCTAATAAGCAACAATCGACTGAACTTCGATGCCCTAACGATCGCTCAGAGACAATTTGCTGAGTGAGAAGAAAATTTCCGACCCAGCCCCCGGCGCCTCTGGCACACGCTTGTGCAGCCTAGACCTCGGTTGCCTCGGCGAAAAAATGGCGCAGAAATTCAATCTTTATCATCGAATCTAGCGGTATCTCCTCGAAAATTCCGGAAAGCGGACATTCCCGAGGAAACCCCAAAAAGCGGTCGAAGCGGACAAAAGAGGACGTGTCCTCTCATATCGCAACTCTACCCATAAGAGACCTGTGGAGGTTCCATGAAAGGGACGGAGTTTCTGATTGATTGTCGAGGCTTTCCAGCTTTTCTAATGAACACATCATAAACAAACCGAAGTTAAGCTTATAACGCGTGCATTTATGAGGGTGCGAGTCTGCCGACTTGCCGCATACCCTCTTTTCGTGTGTTGAGGTGATCGTGAATGATTTCTCCGAGTCGAGTGCGTCCACACAGCCCTGGCTGATCTCACGAATCGATATACCGGAGAGACGGCTGAATGGTCATTCGGGCGGAGTGCGTAAACTCTGATCATGAGTGCTGACTTGCAACTTCTACTCTTCGCTGCGAGCGATCGGGGATCGCTAAGAGTCCGGAGCCCGCAAGGGCAGGTGCTCGATTGGGAAGAGCTCCTAATGAAATCGTTTCAGAAGATCAGAAATCATCCATCGGAAAGGGCTAGGAGACTTTTCGGAAGAAAAATTCCCAGTGGGGTCAGGTACATATTCGATAGCGAAAGGACTCCGGAGGACAATCGCCCAAAATCTCAACATTTCTTCCGAGCAGCGAACGTGGATCCAGGAAAATCGGGGTACATCCGTCCTTGTCGGGAGCTAGTCCGACCAATCCCCAGCTCCGGACGCCGGCCCGGAACGTTCGCAACCTCATTCCCTCGAACACTTTCTGACGAGCTCGCAATTACCGGAGTTCGGAAAGGTCGCGAGCATTATCCATCGAAGTCTCGTCGAAACAGAGCTTGTTTCGACGTACCTACTCGAACGATACTGACCGGCGTGACTGATTCACGGTCCGCTATGCGCTCCGGAATCTCTTTCCTTCAGGTTGCGTGTGTAGGACACATGTGACATCAGACTCGATTATGAGAACGACGTCCCCCGGAGACTAAGTGAGCGCGTCGGCCGCCATACAGCTCCGTCTCACTCAGTTTTCGTCGTTATAGTGCTTTTGAATAAGTATTATCGCCCAGTCAGTTAGTCAGTCAGTCATGGCCGAACGGCGGTCCGGCCGGAGACTGCGTAGCGCCCCCTGGTCCGTCTCTGAGAAACTCAGCATCGTGACTCGCACGGTCGCCGGCCGTTGTGTGCTGGTCCGTACGGAGAGGCAAGCCACGACGTCATACTCGGAAATCTAGGTCACAAACGCAGGACATGAGTTAGTGACTGACTGACTGGGTGAGAGGGTCCCCGAAGTGCTGTTAGAAGGAACAACTCCGCGACGCAACGTCCTCAGCAGCCGTGACCTGCGCCATATAGAGAAAAGCGTCGACCGAGGGTAATCGAAGTCGTCCTCGACGCTGTTTGCCTTCCGGACGCCTTGTGCCCGGGCGTGACCTGCGAGGAGAGGGGGTTGAAAAGTCATATGATCCGGCGATTCGTGGGACCTGTCTCCGGATAAGAGGGGCAGGGGGCTTCTCGATCGTAACGGATTGAAGGGCTGCGAGTCGAGTATCGTCGACGTCGTTGTTGACAATAAGTATCCTTCTGGATCGTCACGTCGGCGTGGCGAATGGAGCACTCGAGGCTGAGAGTGGTGGACGGGGAATAATGAAGGAACTCTTCCGCTCGAATTTCTCGCCCGTATTATTCCCCTCCGGCTCGGGAGCTCGTGTCGCTCGTGAGCGGAGGCGGATTCGAGAGGAGCTGTTCATAGAAGGACACGATTACCTTCAGACCACCTAGCTCGGGATGAGAGCGAGCCCGGAGATCAGGACGAATCGATATGCGGACAAGAACGAGAAGCAATCCTGTTACATGCAGTGGGCATGAAGTGCTTCATGCCGGGAAGGGTCCGTATCTTAAGTTTCCGTCGGCGGCGCTTCACTTTCAACATCCGTGACAATCATTGTTTCATAAAAAATGAATTTCCTCTAGCATGGAGGGGGACGGCCGGAGCATTCAGCCGAGTCCGTTACGATATTTTCACTCCAACGTGTTTGGAAATCGTTCTCGAAAAGGATATCCTTCCTCGAATATTGTTCCCGTCGCCGGAGCCTCCGAGAAGTCGGGGCCGTATCAACGCCGAACACGTGGCCTGAGAACACGAGGGTTTGTGTTCGACGATCTTACGGAGGCCGGCGACGGTGCTGTTGTTGTGGTAAAGGGCATGCCTTTCTTCTATGGAAGTCTACGGAAAGAAGCGCGAGACGGCGCCACGGGCCTCTGGGAACGTTCTCAGGGTAGAGGGCGCTCCGCGAACAGGGAACTTCAGCGCGCGAGCTCGCTGGAAGAACTGCTAGGAGTTTAGTTCAGAGTCGGAGTGAGGAGATATCAGTTGGATGTTCCGAGGATACTTACGACTTCAGTTCACCTCACCTTCACCTTCCTCATCATAAAATACCGGCACTGCCCCAAGCTGAAGTATCGACGATTCTCCACCTCCGATGCCAGTGCGACCTACGAGCCGGAGGCTCGACCGAAGGTGTTGATGTGAAAGTTCCGACTTCAGTGAAAACAAACCAAACACTTCCCCTCTCCCCACTAGACGACATTTCATTCTCTTTATTGCCTCGCCTCTGCCGTGACAAGAGGAAATGAAAACACACACCTAAAATCTGATCCGAACATGCGTACACGGCACAAAACAAAAACCAGTCGGCAAACGACTTCTCATCGGCTCAATGTTCCCAAATGAGGGGTTCCCTATCGAGTTCAAAAAGTTCCTTGTTCTATGAAGCTTCTTCATCGTGGCCGACCCCCAACATTTCTCCGTCATGAGGCGGAAACTGAAACGATGAGGCAGTACGAATGAGTTCGCCGACGCCGGGTGAAGGTGAAGCGCGAACGCGATAGGCGCGACAGGAGGAAAAGTTTTCGAAGTGCTCTAATGAAGTTTTCGGCGTCGTTTTCGTAGAAACAGAGGGGTCGTGCCCGTACAAATCAGAACAAGCAAGAAGCTACCATTCCCCCGATCTGGTAAGAGCTAGTCCACCTCGATGCCGAATGCCGGCAGGACCTGAACGCCCGCTGAGCTCCGACCGGGATGTTTTTATTGAATTTTCGTTCTAAACGAGAGGGTCACTGGGACGTTGGCAGAACTTCGACTCTACTCGTCGACGCCGACCAGCCGCTGACCCGTCGGTCTTCCGCTCGCCTTCCCAGAATGAGGTCCTAGAGCAAAACACATGAGGCTCCATTTGTTCGGCTCCATCAGATCCATTGCGCGAAACTGTTCTCCATACATTTTCCGATTGAGATCTATGGTTGGCACCGATATAGGGTTTCGGATGCGAGTCTCTCACCCTATTTATATCGTTGTCGAAAACATTGCGGGGATCTCTATGAGACGTGAGCAAAAATGTCATTAGTGTGCTCACAAACCGCAGGGTTTGTCGTCCCAACCCGAAACATCGGTTTCAGAGCGGGCGATTTAAAGGCTTCCTGCTTTTCTCCTTGTGGCAGCCTCGTTCGTTCGCAGCTCTGAACTCATTGCAATTATCATGGAGGGTTCCGAGTATTGACATAAGTCAACAGATGAGGAACTCGGGCGATCCGAAGAACTGACTTGGTTCCTCGGAGAAAGAAAATGAACGAAGAGATAAACAGACGCAGCGACGTAATGAGAAAAAGCCGAACGGCAAATAAAGACCGTGTCCGGTGGGTCGATCCGGAGGGCAAGCGGGCGTTCGAATCCTGTTGACAGGCGACTCCGACGAAACAGTCATAAGGAGAGGAGGAACAAGAACACTCGCAATTTTTTTTCACCCTCATTTGACGAACACCTGGCCGATTACAGTGAACTGTGGTGTCCGGTGGAAAGGGGCACTGCCGATCGCAGGAAGCCCGAAGGAAGAGGAAGACGACGACAACGACAACAACGACGACGAACTCGATTGTCTACTCACTAAGTTCATCGAATCGACTGCGGTGGTTCTGAGAGAATCGAGTTCGATCTCCTCGTTCGCACCGAGGAGGTTGGCAAACGTGGCAACGTCGTGCCGCCAGGGTCCCCCGTAGAGGAGAGCGTTGCTGGGGTGCTGGATGTGCGGCAGTCGCAACAGCAGCAGCAGGAGCCGCAGCACCCGCGACAGCTGGATCGAGAATCGGGCAGCACTGGAGCAAAATCCACTGCAGGTGTTGGTGTCACCGACACCGAAGACCACGGTAGCGGCAACAGAAGAACACGAGCTCCAAGGAGGAGAAGTGGTGCTGGAAGTAGTGGAGGTGGTAGCGGCGGCGGCGGCAGCGCGGGCGGCGGCTACGGTGGTGAAAGTAGCGGCCGCGGTGGTGTTGTCGTCGTCAAGGGAAGTGCCAGCAGTGCAGCAGCAGCAGCAGGAGATGGCAGCAGAGGACCGGCGTGTAATAGTGTGGTAGTGATTGCCGGCAACGATACTTTGTGTGTGCCCGATATCTATGGCATCCAGCGGTGCAATAAGATGAGTTCGCGATGGTGGAGTACCGCGTCAACAGAACAGCACACCCAGTTGGCGGCCCAACAGCTAGAGTTGGGTCGCATAGAGACCACAACTGTCTCGCCCCAGAATACTCCCAGCTTGGAGGAGCCCAATGCAAGCCGACGAATCTGCGCCAACCAGAAGCACCGCCCTGGTGTAAGCTATGACGCTAGAACTCGAAAACGACAACTCTATCTACATAACTTCTTAGAACGACCTCGAGGATGGAGAGCCATTCTCTACCATCTATGCGTGTGAGTGCCTCCTCTTGATCTTACTTATGCATTTTTTCTCCTCCCCCACGTAGGCTAGGTAGTTGATCTACGACCTCGAACGATTTGCAGCGGGATTGTGGGATTGTCAAAAAGCCCATTTTTATAAATTCGTATTTATTCGTCCATCGGCAGACGGGGAATTCCTGCTCTCTACGCGGTCGGAGCCAGTTCCCGTAAGCCAAACCGCAAAAATAAAACTGCCGATTCTCCCGACCCGGTCGAAGCTCCATCTATAACAAGATCTATGCTTTGACCGATGACCTCTCTCTGAGATTCCCAACGAGTTCTCTTCGTCCTTCGTCACGAGGTCTTACGCTTGTCCGAAGGTCGCGAACCTTCGACCCCCAGATAGAGGACTCCGAAACAGTTTCGCTGCATGAAAATTACTTCCGGTCGTCCAATCGGCTTGTCGGAGCGGATTTCGAAAATTCTCGGAATATTGGCGGCGTTAGCTTCTTTGTATTCGCGGAGAGGCTTGTTATCATGGTCAGGGTCGCGGTTCCGGCAGTCCCGCTGCTGCGGCTGCTGATGATGACGACGGCGGCGGCTGGCCGTTCGGCCATCGCGGAAAAAAGGCAACGATGAAAGAGAAAGAAGGACACCAATACAAATTAGGGAATTACGCAAATGACGTCCGGATCTCCCGCTTTCTCCCCGCACCGCTCCATCTCCTCGCGCGCCCTCGACGGCTGCCCGGATACCGAGAGTTGAGTGATGGCAGGATGACTGCTATTAGCCAAAACCTATAAGCGCTGTTTCCGAGCCTATTTGAGCGCTCCTTGTTCGAGACTCGTCAATATAGTGGCTCGTTACTCCTCCGAGACGTTGCCGTCCCTTGAATTTCTGCGTCCTCCCTACAAGACGTGCAGTCCATACAAGAATTTACCTCGTCAGCCGAAGGTTTCGTTAGTCGGTGTACTTCGGCACCGCTTCATCCGCAGCCTTCCTCGCGAGCACCATTCCACGGACCGGACGCGCTCTTCAACGACGAACACAAAAGACGTCGAACGTCTTCGCGCAACTCCGAGCTCCTCGCGTCGGAAGGCCGCCAGCGAGCGCACTGAGTCTATAACGCCGGCCTTAACAAAGTTAGCACGCCATCAATTTTTCACCCATTCATACCCATGCGGAGTCGACGAGAAGCGGTGAAAGAGTTGTACTCCGCGTTGATGTCGGGCAAGAGCACAAGAATCACACGCGGATTTATTCTCCGTGTCACAATGCCGCCAACCTGTTCAGCTATTCTTATGACATGTCTTCTTTCATGATACATTTTCGCTGTTACTCATACCCGACGTCCATCTATCAGAATCAGCGGAATAAGGGGAAGTATGAGGAAAAATCCCGCGAAAATTCTCTCAGGACTCTCCCGGCAATGAAATTAGCACAGCTGACAGAGATAGAAAGATTGTACGCTAGCGAAGGAACTATAGACACCCTTCCTGAACTCGATGTTCCCTATGGTGACACTGTACACTGTTTCCTCTCTCGTCGATCTCGTGCCCTGTTTCGTTCGACGGAAATGATCCGCGAATTTTCGTGATCAGTCCTCTCGACTGACGACGCTCCTTCACGGTAATAATTCACGACGAAAGCGAGACGCCAAGGCGGAGAACAGAGGTCTAACGGACCGCTCAGCCGGTGAGGATATCTTCGGGAGTTTCGATCTGGCATACCCGCAAAGACGAGAGGCTCCATCCTGAGATCTCGAGTTATTTAGAAGTTCGAGAAAGAAATGTATCAGCAATGATAGTAATTCTGGAGCTCAAGAGAAATGGGTGGATCTCATGTTGGCTGTTATTACCCCGACGGCGCCGCTCGCTGAGCAGGGATTTGTGTTGAGAGAAAACAGCGAAAAGAGACGGCATCACAAAAAGCGACTAGCCTCTCTGGATTTGTCACTGAAGTTCCACAATTGCTCTACATGGTCATCGGATACGGTCTTGATTCGGGACTAGCCCTAAACCGGGTGTACAAGCGTTCATTTACGACTCTCCTGTAAGAGGAGAGTCACATGCTGACATTGGAGCTTATTGGGTCAGTCCCGAACTCCACGATGGGTCAGTCCCTAGCTTACGGTTCAACATTTGTACAGCGCGAGGAGGATCGCGGGAGTGAGATTGAATGAGAATTTTTATCTGAGAGCGTCGGGTCACGTTTGTGATGCTCGTCACGGCTCGACCGGGCCACGAGACCCCTCCGGGTTCTCCATTCTCGTGCAGAGTTCCGAGTTCGAATAGCAGGTTTCACACCGTCGCCGTCTCGTGTACCATAGTCGGAGTGCTGGCTCGTCGGTTTCCGCACAACGCTCGGAGCATCTTGTCTTCGAATCTTGATTCTGGATGAGAATCTCTCTCTCTATCCTGGAGATAGAATGAATTATTCCAAAGTGCCCCGGTGTCGATCTCAAGGCGAACAAGCGGATGAGCGAAGAAGCAAACACCGCCTGAACGAATGCAAAACAATCAGGGAAAACTCCGATCGAATCCTTCAGACGTCGTTCCACACGTTCCCTCTCGTGCGTTCCGCCACGTTTCCGTGAGCATAGGGAGTCGCGTGATCAACCCCGAAAAGCCCAACGTCGACGAAAACGGTGCTCATTTCTGTGACATGGGGACAAATTGCGGGCCAGTCGTCACGTGTCCTCTGACCCCTGTCAGGCTTCGCTCGTTCACTCTCGCTAGTCACCCTGCTCGTTGGGACAGTGTGAATGTAATGAATCCTGTTCCAGCAACGCTGAACAGCTCCGGATCACCTCCGGGGACTTCACTCGAAGAGAGATTATGGAAAGACTGCGTTCCACAGAGGAATAACGTCCACCGACACAAGTCCCAGCCCGCTTCCATTGTTCGGGGATCCCCATGCGACCGATTGTCGTCGCTTGAATGGGACGCAGATCGCTTGCTTGTCTATTCTGATGTGTGCTCGTGTCTGTTCCTTGACGTAATACGAGCTAGGGACGATTTTTTCATTGACCCGCTCCCTTGATGCGTGATCGAGGGTGCCCGGTGGCTCGAAACGACACGGGTACAGTGGCCTTTCCCTCCCTGGACCTCTGTTGTCCGCCCGAGCTTCTGAGGCAGCAGCAATCGTAGGAAAAATGCTGAGGTCGCGAGGCTCCCTCGACTATTGAGCCGAGAATCGATTGACCCCTTGTCGTCGCTATTGCTCGTGCTCCTGTTCGAGCTGCCGGTAGCCAGTCATGACGACAGAATACGGGAACGCGGGAATGCGTTTGTTCAGTGCTCAGCTTGTGTGTCTCCGGCATAATCATTGCACGAACATGCAATACATGCGCACAGTAGCGCTGCTGGGAGTAGGCCAGGCGCGGAATCTACCCTCACGAGCTCGACGTCCCAGGAATGCGTCCGAACGCTCGCGGAGATCGAGGAGGAACATGGGGGAAGGGAAGGAAATCCTTTTTCGTAGAGGAAAAGGAAATTACCCGCGGTCAAAGCCGCTCTTTTTCGCTCGGACGGCTTGAAATCCTCTGGAGTCTCGATCGGTGGACAGGCCGGATCGAATCCGCGCTGCCTAGTTCCACAGCCTTTTTCGTCAGCGTTGAACGGCGACAAATCACGGGACCCGCAGTCGTGTTCGGAACTTTCCGGATTTAGGTCCACGGGGTTCGTTGATGTAATACCTCCGAGAGCTTAGCATACCACACTCGCACGGAGCGAAGAGACTCACGGTCTCACTTAAGTGGAATGTGGAGAGCTCCCCGTGCTGCCGCTCGTCCTGGAAAAAGGGTGCTGCTGCTGAGCTCGCACTCGGGCTGGGCTCACAGAACGCGGGCCGGAACCTCGCTCAGCGTCCGCGGCGGCCACGATGATCGCTCGCAGCGGCGGAGACTGACGCCTGACGTTTTGTCAAGTCGACGTTCTGCACAACTCGTGATGCTATTGATCAGCAAATGCACGCGTCATCTGAGATGCTCGACCGGCACTGTTCTTGGCTCCGAGACATTCGAGACGTCGCGGTAGAACAACACGAGACATGACATGGGAGAGCAGCGTCGCTCTGGCGTCAAGTCGGCTGAGCGCTCGCGGCAAGGAAGGGGGTCGGGGGTGAACAGCGCGTGGAATACCGCTCGCCGATTTGCTAACGTTGGGAGCTCCGGGCCGAGCCAACTAATTGAAGCGGGAAGTGTTGTGACCGGACCTAATCTTCGCCGTCTGAGAGATAGAGTTTCCCTTTACGCGAGCCGTTGTCTCGTGATCGCGGTCGGGACGCTCCTAATTATGATCAAAACTCGAGAGCTCAGTGACGAGGAATATGATCGCGACCAGAGCGAGGGACCAGTGACTTCGAGGGGAAGCATGGCGATGACGATAATTTTCGCGCGCGTGATTATCCTCTTCGGTCGATCGACGCTGTCGGTGCTTTCAATCATCTTCTTGTGATGCTCTTGTTGCTCATCGTCGGAGGGTTGCTCATGAAGCGGCTTTCTCGACGTCGACGGGAGTTTCTCTGCTTTCAGCGTCCCGTCACCGCCTCTTTCATCCTCGCTGAAGAGACCACTTCGGGCGGCAGATTGGAGAGTAATCCTTTATTGATTTATTGGCGAACTGACTATTGAGATGAAGTCTGTCTTCTCACACACTCACCCGTCGCCCTCCTCTTCATCCTCGTACTCATGGAGGCTACAAAGGATTAGATTACAAAGAAAAAGCCAACGAGCACAATTGGGCGAGGCAACAGGGAAACCACAAGGGTTCGACCATTCCGATTTGAGAGCTTCCGGCAGCTTTCCTTATCGATTATTGGGGCCGCCCTCGCTAGAGTGAGGAAAGAGTCACGAGGCCAGTAGACGTCTAGCGTCGCTCTGGATTCTCAAGTCGAGTGAATTCTCTGTGCAAATATCGCGATCGGTCGTCCGGACGGCGTTGGGGAGGCGAGAGTGGAGGAAAGATCATCACAGTCTCAGAGATTTGAATAAAACGTCGCGAAAACTCATCCTGGGAGGGAATCCCCCAACT